TTCCTGCTTTGTCAAAGATTAGCCGGCCATACATCTGTGGGTCCATTTCTGGTTCTCTATTCTGTTCCACGGGTTATTTTTTTAAAATGTGTTTTTATTATTTTGACAGAGCACAAGTAGGGGAGGGACAGAGAGAGAGGGAGACGTAGAATATGAAGCAGGCTCCAGGCTCTGAACTGTCAGCATAGAGCCTGATGTGGGGCTCAAACTCATGGACTATAAGATCATGACCTGAGCTGAAGTCGGATGCTTAACTGACTGAGCCACCCAGGAACCCCTTGATATAGATTGTTAAATCCATATTCATATATGGAACTTGTCTGTGCTGCTGATTTTTCTTCCCCTTTGGTCACATTGATGTCAGGGCCATATCAGCTTTATAAAATGACTTAGAACAGCTTTTGTGTTATCCTGTGCTCTGAAACTTTTGAGGAAATGCTTTGCTTTTCAGAATTGGAAAGAATTTGATAACAAAAGCATCTGGGCCTGGAACCTTTAAACAAGGTAGTTCTTTGTCATCCTCTGGTAACTTTCTTCGTTTCATCCGTGGTTATTCCTGGATCAAGTTGAGTAATTTCATGCTCTCTGGAACCTTTTACTAATCAATCACAATTTTCAAATTCATTAGCACAGAGTTGAGTCTTGTATTTTTTTCCCTGTATACTTCGGGCGGTATTTTCCAATTTGAAATATTACTGGTCTGGATAATCATTTTCAGCATTATTGCACAGTGTCCTCTTCCCGAAAGACACAGGTCCAGAGGCACAAAGATGTGTAACTACAGGTTAAAATGTGTGACTTACAAATGTGGGCTTACTTAGCTGATTTAGTAGTGAACACCAGGGACAAGTATCATTTAAAAGAGCATGTATTGGGGACACCTGGGTGGCTCAGTCAGACTCCTGATTTCAGCTCAGGTCATGAGATCAAGCCCAGCATCAGGCTCTGCACTGACAGCACAGAGCCTGCTTGGGATTCTCTGTCCCTGTCTCTCTGCCCTTCCCTGGCACTCGTGTTCTCTCTCTCTCTCTCTCTCTCTCTCTCTCTCTCAAAATAAATAAACATTAAAAAAAATTAAAAGCATGTATGGGTATTAGATGCGTTTTTAACATTACATCATTGTCTATATTTAGTCTTACTGAAATAGCTGTAGCAGTTAACAGTAAGAGTAAGGGAGCTTGTGCTGACGGGTAACGAGGGGATGTAGGAGTTATGCTTATTTAGTAGTAAAAATAGTACAGTCGCATATGGTGATCCTTTTTCAATCAGATGGCTTCTCTTTAAGTAAATAGAGGTGCCTTTTACAGTTCATTAGGATCTACTTCATACGATTCTACTATTAGCTTTTCTGCTTTGTGCTTTTAGGGCCAAGGGAAGAGGGAGGGTCTGTGGTGTTAGAGCCGGGGTTATTAGGTACAGATCTGAAAAGTGGCAGAGAAGGATGAGCTAGTAAAGTGAAGGTAGAGATCATTTGTTCTTGATCGCATGGAGTCAGAAAGAGTTTACTCAAGTGTTTTTCACGGTAGGCATACAGCTTCCCAAATGTGGAAATCATCTGTAGCGTTAAAGAGGATATGATGCTGGGTTCTTCAGTGAAACCACCCAAGGCCGGTTGTAAGTTTGTGTGCCTGGATCCCTTTTTCTCTTTCTCAGAATGCACCAGCGCTTCTCCGCAGCCTGGCAGGTTATTGGCCAGCATTTCTCCAATCAGTAAATCACGCGGGGCCGTCGCATCGTCATGATTACTAATGATCACGAGACAGGTCACCGCAGAGAGACAGGGTTCCGCGTGCAAGGTCTGGTGGTGGCACAGAGCAGGGAGTGACAGACTGTGAATGAGGGTGTTAAGAGAAGGGATGGGATGGGAGCTGACGGGGGCCTGCCCCGAGGGGGCGGCTGAAGCTGGAAAGAAAACAGCAGTGGGGCTGGGGGTGAGGCGGAGGAGGACCTTGTGAGTTGGCCACACAGTGGAACCCGGGCTTTATATTTACCTTCAAATTGAGAGTCAAGGGATTGTTTAAAGGGTGTGATCATCTGTAAGCCCCTCCAGGAAAGCCTGTCTGTTTGGTTTGGCTTGTTCTCCCATCTTCAGCCCCTGCTGTTGTTCCTGACACGGGGTAGATGTTCACCACAGTGAAAACACAGCTTTTGTGGAATCAAATCCTAACGACTTTGTGTGTTGGTCCCCAAAGCTGGGATGCCCTGCATCCTGAGGCTCTTGAGGGGTGGTGTTCAGGGAGCCCCACCCCCACCCCACTTCACCACGGGGTGGAAATGGTCAAGAGCAGAAACCTACCAGGAGGATTGCTTTACTGTTGTGATTTGTTTCAATTATTCAGTCTTCTCCCCAGAGCCGTAAAAGAAAGGTTATTTTCTTTCTTTTTCCCTAAAGTTTATTTATTTATTTTGAGAGAGAGAGAGAGAGAGAGAGAGAGTGAGCAGAGGAAGGGCAGAGAAAGAGAGAGAGAGAGAGAGAGAGAGAGAGAGAGAGAGAGAGAATCCTAAGCAGTCTCTGTGCTATGACACAGGGCTCAGTCCCATGAACTGTGAGATCATGACCTGAGCCAAAATCAAGAGTTGGATGCTCCACTGACTGAGTCACCCAGGCACCCCAAGAAAGGTTGTTTCTTTCTTTTTTAACTTTTTTTTTAATGCTAATTTATTTTTGAGAGAGACAGAGTGTGAACAGTGGAGGAGTGCAGAGAGGGAGACATAGAGTCTGAAGCAGGCTCCAGGCTCTGAGCTGTAAGCACAGAACCCAACATGGGGCTCAAACTCACAAACTGTGAGATCATGACCTGAGCCAAAGTGGGACGCGTAACCAACTGAGCCACCCAGGCGCCCCAAGAAAAGTTGTTTCTTTTTTTTTTTTTTTTTTGGTTTTTTTTTTTGTTTTTTGTTTTGGGGTGTTTTTGTTGTTGTTGTTGTTTTGTTTTTGTTTTTTTTTTTTTTGCTCCATGGTTTCAGATTATCTTTCACAAATAAAGAGATGTTTTCCCTTTAATTATTTATGGATGATGGGAATAAAATATTTTTACATGGTTTGCATGTACAGAAGTTTTTAAATATGTGAGGCATTGTACAAAATTGTTCATAATCTTTACCATTCACAATTTCTATGCCTTATTGGGGAAGGAAATCTGTAAGAAGTTGTAAATTTTCAACAGTGGCAGAACCAAAATACGACTTACATGATTAGTAGCTTCTCCCTTCTCCTGGCCTGTTACTTGCTCAGCCATGGGCCCCTCTGGCTTGTAGAAAAGATTATGGATCCATTCATGTTGCTGGAGTCTTTACCAGGTGACAGCTCCTCCAAATACATTTAGTAAAAATTGAACTAATTACAATGACATCTTAAGTACGCTAAAAACTCATTACAGTAAGAATGCATTACTCACCTTAGACCGACCGACATGGTGTGAATGTCCATTTTGCTTACATATCTATTTTTATTCTTAAACAACAGCAACAGAGAAACTACAGTTTATTTCTCGATGTGTAGTTCTTTGTGAGATTGTTACCTCAGATAACAGTGCCATGGAGGGCATGATGGAAGGTGTCTCCGAACCTGAGATCCCATTCTAAGTAACACCCCCAAGCCCCCAAATCAAGGCTTACAAGTGAGATCGTGGATTACTGCTGGGAAGTGTTACCCTTGGTAAAGGGAAAAGGGGAAAAAAATAAAAAGGAAAAAAGATGCGTAGGGAACTTCTTTTTATATCAGGTTCTGAATCCAGCAGTGGGTTGTAAAATCAATATAGCTGGCTAGGCAAGGGAGCATTATTCATTTTTAATAGGAAAAGATGGAAGATGGAGTGTGGGTAAGTTTGTTTCTGAATTCTGTGTACACAGGTGTAATTGGTTGAAATGTAAAAACACATTTATTGCTCTGAGTCATAGTGAAAAAATGATAAATAGTGCTTTAAAAATCATAAGTTGCCTTGTATGAACCAATTAAGAGCAGACAATGTATGAGTCCTTTCTCTGTGATTTTGGAGTGTCTCTGAAACATATTTGACCTGAAAAATCCTAAAGCATAGGTTAAATATGAACAGGACTTTCTCTAAAAATTGAAGCAAAGGCTTTTAATACTGACTATTACGAGCTCTCTAAATGAAAATTGTATTTACCTATTGAACTGGGGCTTTCGGTAAAAGAATTTAAGTAGATACTTATACCTACCAAAGTAGATGTCCTAAATCTGCTGATTTATGCATAGTTATTATCAAGAGAAAAAGGCAACTTAATTGAAAATTCAACAACGACGACCAGTATTTTGTGATCACATGTAAATTGAGGTCATTTTTCCAAGAATTTGTTATGTTACCAGTGCAAGCAGAAGGTGGCCAAACCTCAGTGTACTGAATAGCAGTTATTCTTAAATATGTGTTAAATCATGAGTTTTTGTTGCTTTGAGCCACAATCGCTTCTGTTAATAAAAAAAGGTGTTTTATTATATAATGCCAAATTATGTGTGCATAAACTCTTAAACACAGTCATTACTACCAGAATATGTATAATATGTATGTATATATTTATGGTTCTTAAGTTTGGAGGGACTGCTGGCATAGAAATGAGAGTGTTTTTTCCTTTTTATGTTTCTCAAGGACTGTGTATTTAAATTCATGGTTTGTTTCTTTACATTTCAAAGGTATACAGCATACTTCATATATTTTACTTTTTTAAAAAGCGGCCCTTGTCCTTTTGTTACTTATGTTAACACAGATTTCATCCATGCATTTGGTAGTTTTCTTTTTGAAATAAAGTTACTGCTGATGCAGGGTCCACTTTCTACATTTAATAAGAGGTGTTTTGCTTTTTGTTTTGTTTTGTTTTCTTTTCTTTTCTTTTAGGACCCTTTCCAGTTCGCTTGTCCTTTCATGAGAAATAACTAAAATTTGTGAATAAGAAAAACTGTAGTATTTCTCTAGGTTATCTCTACTTGTAGATCTCATGCTGGATCTGATAGTTAGCAAACAAATAGGACATTACTGTGGGGATACACTTACCAGGATGAAAGTTTATTTTTGACCAGTGCTGACAGCGTCTAATACTTCAAGCTAGCTCGACTCCGTTTTTCCTGCTACTCTCACTCCGCTTTTATTTTGCCGACCGGGTGAATCGACCTGTGATTAAAAGAAGTTCGATCAGACAATGGAAGGTTCTCTGAATTTTCTGGCTTCTTCCTCAAGGTTAATGGGAGAAGAAGCAGGTGGTTCAGAGGGCCCCTGTGGTGGGGATCCGTGTCTTTTATTTGTTTGGAAAAGGATCAACATTTTGGAAGTTGATCTTGCGTGGCCGGTGGCGGTAGGCCTAGCACTGGAGACCATTTTGGGAACTGGTGGTGGACGCCAGAGGGCGTAAATGGCTGAAGTACCAATATTTTGAAAATTGTGAAATGATACTTCCATGCATTAACTAAAATATTATGTAATTATTGGTACTGTATTCTCTTCAGTACAAGAAAGTACCTGGGAATTTTGTAACTTCTACCATTATAACGAGTACTTAGGCCCCCGTATTAAAGCTGGAATTATTGTCTTCATCATCAAATCAGTACATCCTTATACAATTTAAAGTAATTATTGTTTTTTTTTTTTAACGTTTACTTTTGAGAGAGAGGGAACGCACGCATGTGGGAGAGGCGCAGAGGGAGAGGGAGAGAGAAAAATGCCAAGCGAGCTTTGCGCTGTCAGCGCTGAACTGGAAATGGGGCTTGACTCTCGAACTCCGATCTGAGCCGAAGTCTGACACTTAACCGACTGAGCCACCCAGGCGCCCTTACATTAATTGTCAACCAAAGGAGAACACACGCTTTTTTACAACATCCACTTGTGCTCCGAGCCTCAGCTCTAACAACTGCAGGCTCTGGGCCCACGCTCATCACCCTCTCCTGTCCGCTCCTGGGGCAGCCCTCCCCGCGCCTTGGTAATTATTACTTGTGGGTTACACCTTTATTACTTGTGGGTTACGCCTGATCGTTCAGAACTGGCTCACGTGTAACAGTTCTAGAGTCATTACTCTGATAGAGTGGCTCTCTGTTGCAGTCGGCTACCCACACACTTCATACGTAACCATCCTGGTACCAAGCGTTGGCAAGAGGGACGGGTATTCCACTATTCTTCTGCTTCTTTCATTTCTTGCCCGGTTCTTCCTTTTCCTTCTTCCATGTTTGGCATAGGTTTTAGGCCATCCATGGACTTCGTTTAGACTTGTTTCTAAGCTAGCAGTCATTTGTTACATCTCTCTAATAAAATCACTGCTGGGCATTAATGTTGTCTTTATAAGGAAAGCTTTATTTTTAGGTATTTATTAGGCACCTAAACATGTGTTCATTATCGTTCAGTATTTAAAACGCACTAATTATTTGCATTATGGAAACATTCATTGATTGCAACTGGTCCTTGTGACAAAGACGTGATTGAAATTGTATATTCAGTTTTAAAATAAGGGAATATGTCATTACTTTAACAGTTTACACATATTTATTTCATAAATAATTCAATAAATATTGATTACTATGTATGAGGCTCCTTGTATAAGTAGCGTGTTTGTCTTACTGCATTCTTATTTGTATATGATGCATTGATTTGTAAAATCTCTTTGTTTTTCTTAGATAAAATTGAAGAAGCACAAAAAGAACTTAATGGGGCAGAAGTGTCAAAAAAAGGTAAATTAAAGTCAACCCCAATGTATTCTGTATTCTTAACAGAGATTTCTATCCAGGTCCCTATAATTGCAGCCTTACTAAATCTATCAGTGAAAACATATCACGGAATTAGAAATCACCTTAGACTGATTGATACCTGAAAGTATATGGACTTTACTTCCTGAAGTGCTTTAGCTACTTCTGTAGCTATTCTGTAACTGTTTCTACAAATTAAGATATTGCTGGTAGGATTATGAGAGATCGTTGCAGCTCTTTCGAAAGTCCTATTTATGAGACTGTCCCATAGCAATAAAAGTACCAACGTGATTGATGCCTGTGTTTCAACATGTATGTGCCTATCTCTGTATGTTCTTGTGATGCAGTATTTTTTTGTAATGACGAAAGCCCAAAATAGATAAAATTATATGAATGCTAGTCAGGGGGAAGAATGGTTGAATCAGTTTAATACATTGTATTTTGGGATATATTATGCACCTTTTCAAGAAACGTTAATTCTTTCAATTGACAGTGGTGGTTTATTGATGAATGAGGAAAACGAAATTGCACGGTAGCTTGTAAAATATCTCAGTTTATAAGTTTAATCAAATTTCAAAGGCATACACGCCTACATATTTATACACATTTCACACAAATATGTTTACAAAGGTGGAAGGAAGGGTTTGAGGAAGCTTAACTTTCCTTTATATGGCTTTATGGTTTTTATTAATTACAATGGTTGTAATTTTGTATAAAAAATTTAAAGGCAAAAATTGGTTTTCATGGTAGAAAACCTAGTGTTCGTTTTTCCAGATAATATGAAAAATGCATTCAATATTAAATAGTCTGTGGAGAGGGGAAGACAGGTGGATCGGTTCCCAACACTGTATGTTAATGAGTAAAATCGATTAAAAGGATATAATTAAAGCTCCCATTATAGCATTTATATTTCATGACTTATTATTTCTTTGTCCTTATTATATTTTCTAATTATAGTGGAATATTTTGACAGTAATTTGGCTATATATGAATCCAATGGAAAGTCTTTTTTCTTTTTTTTTTTTTAAATCGATTTAGGTTCCTAGCTAAGTATCTTTAGTAGAAATATTTCTGGCTGTCCAGGTTTTCCGTCCCTTGGACCAACCTGCGAACCTCCAAGATGTTGTGGCGTTGGTCTGAGTAGTTATGTTGTGATGTGCAGCAACCTTGAAGTGTCTCTCCGTTTTCTTCTTCTCACACCCCCTTCTTCCATGCAATCTGGAAGGTCCATAACAAACAGGATCCTTTAATGATATTCTTGCAGAAAAGCCTAGAAAGAACAGAGAAATCACTGTAGCCATGCTGCCCCTTTCCACGGTTGACTAAAGGTCCCTTCCCTCATTGCTATAGACATAAAGCATGTTAAGACACACAGGCTGTAAGAGATGCTTTACATCCAGTAATGGTTTAGAGCTGCTGCAAGGAGAAAAATAAATGTGTGCTTGTTTTGCATTTCCTTCTTTCTTACTCCCGTGGCAAAGAATTTTAAGAACAGTGAACTAAATGCCTATATAGGAAGGAGGAAGCGAACAAAGGTTCTAGAAGAAGAAATTGGATAATGAGTTTCAGAATAATCCAGTGGGCTACACTTGGCAGGCTACACTTATTTAAGACCGAGGATGAATACCAAGTGAGCATTGTTCTGTGCGGTTCGCTGCCTAGAATTACTACTTGGCTTTCATTTTTACGCACACATTCGGGGCAAATTAAAAATGAAATAGTTTTTGGGGCGCCTGGGTGTCTCAGTCGGTTAGGCATCCAACTTCAGCTCTTGTCATGATCTCACGGTCTGTGAGTTCGAGCCCTGCATTGGGCTCTGTGCTGACAGCTCAGAGCCTGGATCCTGCTTCCGATTCTGTGTCTCCCTTTCTCTGCCCCTCCCCTGCTCACACCTCCTCCCCCCCCCCCCCAAGTAAGTAAACATTTAAAAAAAATTTTTTTTTTAATGAAATAGTTTTTCTCTCAAATATAATTAAGGAATAATATCATTTTGTCTTTAACAATATGAGATAAAAATCTTTCAGTAATAAAAGTATTGAGATTTCTCAAATCTTTGCTGGCCAAGCTGCTGATTAAAGGAAATTCATTTCTTCCTTTGGATAATATGCTGTAGAAATTTGTTGTTATTTTTATTAGGATGATTCATCTAGGGCAGATCACTTTTTCACTATTTTTTCTTTTTTTCTTTTTTTTTAATTTTTTTTAATGTTTTTATTTATTTTTGAGACAGACAGAGACAGAGAATGAATGGGGGAGGGGCAGAGAGAGAGGGAGACACAGAATCGGAAGCAGGCTCCAGGCTCTCAGCCATCAGCCCAGAGCCTGACGCGGGGCTTGAACTCACGGACCGCGAGATCGTGACCTGAGCTGAAGTCGGACGCTTAACCGACTGAGCCACCCAGGCGCCCCCCTTTTTTTTTTTTTTTTTAATTTCACTATTTTTTCAACAGGCCTTTGCTTTTTCCCCCTGAAAGTTTGACTTTTGTCTTCTATATATGGCTATTTTTCTACAATGCTGTGGTTCTAAGATTTTTTCCTCCACTGAAGATACTGTAATTGTTCAATTTATTTATTGTTCTTTCTCCTCCTTTCCTTCTTTTTTTTTTTTTAACCATTAGTACAAGTAACTAATTTGAATCTAGCATTAATGGCAAGCCCTTAAAAAACCCACAAAAAAAGAAAAAACACCTCGGTCATTGATAGATCTTTATTGTTTTCTAACATTTTAAGAAAAGATTAATCTGTTTAGTGTAATAGGGTGGCAAAGAAAGTGACTTTGCCCATTATGCACCAATAAAATAAAGAAGGGCACTAAATTATGTTAATGTGTTTCTTTTACTCTTTCTAGAGAGAAAGAATACATGAATGAAAATTAGATGACTTTGATTTATTTTAATTTTAATCAGTCTGGGGATAAACGTAACATGTAACATTCACATAATTCTCCATAACATCGTTATATTCTTCCTTACAGTGCTCTTTACTTGTTCTTAACATCCATCATATTTGACACTACTCTTAAAATTATTGCATGGGATTTTTTTTTTTTTAACGTTTTATTTATTTTTGAGACAGGGAGAGACAGAGCATGAACAGGGGAGGGTCAGAGAGAGGGAGACACAGAATCTGAAACAGGCTCCAGGCTCCGACTGCCAGCACAGACTGTGAGATCATGACCTGAGCTGAAGTCGGACGCTCAACCGACTGAGCCACCCAGGCGCCCCACATGGGATTTAAATAAAATAGTGAATGTCACAGATGTGGGAATGGAAAATGTATAAACTAGGAAGAAATAAATAGATCGGTTTTTCAGGAGAGCTTTCATAGTCTATCTTTTGTATAAGCTTTAATTTTAATACTTTGTTTTAAATTTTTACCATACAATATTTGACATATGTAAGTTAATATATGTAATGTATTACAAATTTTTGTCTTTTAATTTTTGAGAGAGAGAGAGACACAGAGCACGAGAGGGGGAGGGGCAGAGAGTGAGGGAGACAGAGAATCCAAAGCAAGCTCCAGGCTCTGAGCTGTCAGCACAGAGCCCGACACGGGGCTCGAACTCATGAACCATGAGATCATGACCTGAGCCAAAGTCGGACGCTTAACCGACTGAGCCACCCAGGTGCCCCTGTGTGTAATGTGTTATAAAGCATAAAAACAACATGGTGATCTTTCATTCCACCACCCAGTGTGAAAACTGGCGCATCGTCAATACCATCGCATCAGCCTGCGTGCTCGTCATTATTTCCCTCTGTCTGCTCTTTAGAGGTATTTACCGTCCTCAGCTTTACGTTCATCGTGTTAATGCTTCATAAAAATAATTACATATTCTCAAACAGTATACTTTTTAGCTTTGCTTGAGTTTGAGCTTTAAAAATAAAATTATGTTCCCTAATTTTAACAGCTTTTTCACTCAACCTTGTTTCTAAAATGTATGCATGTTGTTGAAAGTAGCTATTTCTTCCCATTGCTGTAACAATATTTTATTACATGATGCAATATGTACCTCCATTCTCTTGTTGATGGATTTCAGTTATTTCTCCCTTTTTGCTGTCACAAACAGTGCAGCTCCGAATACTCTCATAGCCTAGTGCACATGTGTGAGTTTTCCAGGACATACACAGGGAGCGTAGATGTTCAGCTTCATCAGATGATGCGAAATGCTTTTCCAGAGTTTTTTGGAAATTTTACATTTCCCCCATCAGTGTCTAAGAATTCATTTTGTGCTATCCAGTACTTGGTATTGTCATTGTTCTTACTTTTTCCAGTTGGATGGGTAAAAAATAGTCTTGTTCTGCTCTGGATTTATTTTTCCCCAATTAGTAATAATGTTAAACATGTCTTCACTTGTATACCACTTTCTTGAAATGCTTACTTGTATCTTTTATGCATTTTAAACATCTTTTTTTTTTTAAATATATTTTGGATAACAGCTCTTTATTCATGTTATGTGCTTTAGTTCTGGGCTTACTTTTTTACTTTCTTTAAAGTACTTTTTGAGGGGCACCTGGGTGGCTCAGTCAGTTGGGCGTCCGACTTCGGCTCGGGTCATGATCTCGCGGTCCGTGGGTTCGTGCCCCGTGTCGGGCTCTGTACTGACGGCTCAGAGCCTGGAGCCTGCTTCAGATTCTGGGTCTCCCTCTTTCAACCCCCTCTCCTGCTTGTGCTCTGTCTCTCTCTCTCTCTCTCTCTCTCAAAAATAAATAAGCATTTAAAAATTTTTAAAAATGAATAAATAAATAAAGTACCTTTTGTACACAGAAGTTCTTGGTTTTAATATCAAACTATTAAGCTTTTTCATTTATGATTAGTATTTTTTTGTTGTTGTTTTTCTGGAGATTTTTAAATATATTTGCTTGCCTTAAATTCTTCCCTCCTACAAGGTCTTACATGTTTTTTCTCTGTTTTATTCTAAACAAAACAAACAAAACAAAAAAACAAAAAAAACTTTCACGTTCAGATAAAAAAATACATCTGAAGTTTATTTTATTTTTTTTTTTATTTTTTATTTTTTTAAATTTTTTTTTTCAACGTTTATTTATTTTTGGGACAGAGAGAGACAGAGCATGAACGGGGGAGGGGCAGAGAGAGAGGGAGACACAGAATCGGAAACAGGCTCCAGGCTCCGAGCCATCCGCCCAGAGCCCGACGTGGGGCTGGAACTCACGGACCGCGAGATCGTGACCTGGCTGAAGTCGGACGCTTAACCGACTGCGCCACCCAGGCGCCCCTGGAGTTTATTTTAAAAAACAATACAGTGTGAGTTTGGGTTCCACTTTCTTTCTCTCTCTCTTTTTTTTTTTTTTCCCCAAATGGATAACTATTTGTCCCAGAGTATTTATTACGTTCATTCTCCTTTTACTCTTTTTCATCTTAATTTTCCTGATAGGTATGGGTTTGTTTCTTGGCTCTCTGTTCTCTTCTGTTAATCTGCGAGTTAATATTACAATGTGTTAATTACTATCACTACATGTTTCAGTGCACAGCAGGGAAAATTCCTAAAGTGTTTTGACTATTTCTAGTTTTTTGCTCATACATTTAAATTTTAGAATCAGCTTTTAAAATAACTTGTTGGGGCTTGGTTTGGGATTGCATTGAATTTGGGGCAAACTGACAATTGTCACAATTTTCAGGCTTTCTATCTCCAAAAATAGTATATTTTTGATACTTGTGTTTTCTTTGTCTTATAATTTCTTCCATATGGATCTTGTACTTATTTTATTGAATTTATTTCTTGAAGCTTTATTTTTTTACTGATTACATTGATTGTGTGTGTATATATGTGAAATTGTTTTTTAGCTCTTGTTGGCAAATAGAAATACAGTATATTTTTTGTATATTCATCTTGTATCCAGCCACTTGGCTGAATCATTCATTCCAAAAATTTGTTTGCAGGTGCTTGAGATTTTCTTGTAAACAGCCTGATGCTAGCAGTAATGAAAGTTTTGTTTCCACCTTTTTAAATTATTGTTCCTTTATTTAGTTTTCTTGTTTTACCCAGTAGGCTCTGGTAAAATCAAAAGAAGGGTAGTATTGGTGTCCTTGACTTGTTCTTGATTGTAAAGGGAATGCTTCTAATATTTCATGGAAATGTTTAAAGTCTTTTTAGGGGAAGGGAGGGTCAGGGTTTTTTTTTTTGTTTTGTTTTGTGTGTGTGTGTGCACGTCCATGCGTGCGCTTGTTTAAGTAGCATAAGGAGGTTATCTTTTTGATCTACTGAGATTTTTAAAAGAATCATAAGTGGATCTTTTTTTCATCAAATGGTTT